ATTGGCGGGCTGCTCTGGTGGGATACTCGGCGCGATCCAGCTACTCTGGCGGGATACTCGGCGGCATGTACTGGAGCTACTCTGGGATACTCGGCGGGACACTCGGCGGGATACTCGGCGGGATCCACTGACAAGCTACTGCCCGGCTACTCGGCGGGATCCACTGGCGGGATACTCGGCGGGATCCACTGGCAGGCTGCTCTGGTGGGATACTCGGCGGGATCCACTGCCGAGCTACTCTGGCGGGATGGGATCCACTGGCGAGCTACTCTGATACTCAGCGGGATACTCGGCGGGATCCATGAGCGGGTGCGCTTACCATTTGGCTGGCATGGACACAGTCCTGAGCGGGTGCTCTTGGGCGGGTGTGCTTTCCATTTGGCTGCCACGAAATGCTGCGCCTGCCACACGCAAACGCTTCACTCCCAACATGCACGAAATGCTGCGCCTGCCAACGAAATTGCACTATCTTTGCGCAGCAAAAACGCAAGATCCACGGCTTCCCGGCCGCGCGCGCCTGTGCAGTCGAAACGGCGTGTTTAGCTCCAACACTCACGAAATGCCGCGCCTGCCTAATAAAGTGCACATGCTGTGAAGCAGTTGAAACGCGCGTTTACGCGATGACCGGGCCACAGGTGTGTATACCCGCAAAAAATGTAGGCCCCTGAATGCCGCAACATGGCCCAAAACGGCTCCAGGAAGGGCCCAAAACGGCTCCAAAAAATGGCTTGAGTCCCGGGGTCCCGGGCTGGACATCCTGGACTGGGTGCGGCTCCTGGGCAGGGCGCTGGCGCCGCTGTTCCTCGGCAGGTGGTCCTGGCGCGAGGATCTGAAGGGATCCCATGGATTTCAGTTTTCCTGGCCCCCCCAAAAAAAGGTTTCCCTGGACTGTCCCGGATTTCCCATGTTTTTTCCGTGTTTTGTTGAGAACACGGACCGCGAAAGGGGTACCGACTCCAAAAACGCACAAACCCGCGAAGCTGAACGTCAAAGGCCAGAGTCACTGGTACCCTTTTTTCGGAGTGCTTGAAAAAGGGAAACCAAAAGGAATACTACAATTTTGTAGGGGTCCCCTATTCTGACACATACCCCAGCGCTGGCAAACAAGTTGGCACTTGCAGGCAGAAGTATGTCAAAACCTGAGCAACTCAGAAACAAAGACCCAGATCGACCACAGCACACCCTAGCAAGCTCCACAGTACTTCGTGGTCCGTTGATCCCTGACTAAGATTCGAACTTTTTGCAGGATATGAAAGGATATGAAATTGTCATATGCTCAACTCTAAAATCTAACCAAAAAACACAGAGGTCTAACTTCTAGCAGCCTTATAGGGGATACTACATCTTGACAACCCTCAACTTGGTTTCGAGGGCACAACCAAGCCAAATGCGTGCCCGTTCGGCTTTCCAAGCCTTCCTGGGTAGCTCAAAGTCAAGATGTTCGGCAAACAATATACATCTGGATTGCATTGGCAGGGGGGTAGCTCTGGGAACGGAAACTGAATGAGGCACTCGGATTCCGCATCATTGATCATTGGTGGGACCTGGTGGTTTCCCTTGAAACCATAAGGGTGATTGTTACCCACCCCCTCATGGTTTCCTTTGCTTTCCAGTCACCAACCAAAGCGGTATCTTCACAATCATGGCCGCTTTGATGTTGAAGAACCCTTCTGCTGCTCAAAAGGTGGGTTGCCAGCCTTGGGGTCCAGTACCGCGGCCGAAGTCTTCAGCACCTCCACGGCCTTTCGGAACGGAAACCCATGGGCCTTCCCAGAAAAGGTGGGGGGGGGGGGGGGAACGTGCGGGTTTTCCCTTTGCCTTTCGGAGAAAAAACAGTTTCATGGTGGAAGCAAATCGAGTTTTTGAGGTTTGAGTCTGCCTCCATGGCACCCACACAAAGAGCAGTTTTGAAATAAGACAGTCAAAGTGAATGAACCAAAAGCCACCCGAAACAGGTATGTCTCTGCCCAAGTCCCCTTTCGCTTGACAAGGTCCTCATTGATTTGGGCTTCCCCACGCCAGAATGCTTTTTGTTGCGCTTGGCGACAGGGAAGTAAAGGGGGTTGTGAGTAGCCTATCGTGGCTTCAGCAAAGCGGTGCGGGCATTAGGGGTATGATGACACACAGTAGTCTGCTATGACTTGATTAGGTAAAGTACACAGCTCAGTTCTGTTTCCTCGGGCACTGTAGAAGTCTCCAAGCTGCTTTCTGCTTGATGCCTACGAAAACAAGCATGTTCCACACACTCGCATGGAGGGATTCAAAAAACGTGGCCGCATGCAGAGGGGGGAAGGGACAGAACCGGGTCCAGGAACGATTCGCAAAGAAATCAGGGTGAAGCAAGCCACTGAGGTGAGCTTTCGGTCGCCGACTGAGCTCATCTTCCCGCGGTGGGTTCCCATTAGCCGCAGAAAACGACCCGCTTTTTGACATCCGAGGCGCCAGGATGTGCAACTCCGCGCTCTCCGCGTCGGCACCGCCCTAGACGCGTCTCATTGAACGAGGGGAAGAGAACCGCTGACCAGCTGAGTTGACTGGATGTTGTTTGTTTGGGGGGGGGGCAAAAAGATGAAGAAACCTGGCAACGAAAGATGTTGAAAGTTTGCCGCTCAAGCAGTAAGGTTGTGAACTGGGTCAAAAAAGCAATTTGGAGCCATACTTTGGGGACCAGGCTAGGGCTGGTTTCGTAAGGGAAGGAGAATTGCAAGCAACCGCCCAACATGTCCCTAGCCTGACAGATTTTGCGGCTCCCTTGTAATTAGGCCGCAATTTCTCTGGGTCGAACCCCCCATCCGCGGAAAGAATATCTTGCGTGACCCATGCTTTTGCGACCCTCACCGGAAACAAAGGAGGGCCTCACTAGTTGTGGGGTCCTGTGCACACAAGGGGCTAAATAGCTTGGTTTCCGCACCCGCTTGCTGGTTCTCGGTAGGAGCAAGCGGGGATCCCCTTCTTCCCCTACAGAACCAGCCAGTTGTGGACACTACAATCTTGTCACATGGTGGGTGTCCTTTGGTTATGCTTCAATTACCAGCCAACAGGTCCACCATTTTGAGAGGTCCACGGTTCAACGAGAAGCTCCACGCGCTTCCTCACGCGTTTCCTCGTTTCCTTATGGCGCGTTTGGCACCTCGTCCTCCTTTCCGTCCAGCACCAGCTGCGCCCCTGGGCTCCAGCTTGATGGCCCAGAGCTGTTGAAGGACCGGGCACGCAACCTGAGAAGCGGGGCAATTGAAGGTTGGGGTTCTGTTTTTGAGGCTCGGTTCTGTTTTTTCGTTTTTTCCTTCTTCTTCTTTTTCGTGGAAGGCTCTAAACGGAGGCCAAAAGGAAAGCCACCGTGAACAACAGTGTGAATTTCCCAAAATATCGGTCGTTGCTCTTCTGGGTGTGTTGAGAGTGCACTTTTCAGCTTGCTTTAAAAGGAAACCAAATGGAAACTGTTCATGCCCTCCTGCACATTAACATGGAACCCGCTTGGAGGAATCTCCTTTTGGGAGTCACATTTTGTGGGCTCCATGTAAATTTTGCAGGGGAGATGGCTTGAGCAAATGGCTAGCACTGGAAAATGACTAGAACCAAACCAGCCAAACTTACAAAGGCATCGCCATGCTATGTGCACCGTTGCGTGTCACAGACGAGGCTTGAAATTCTGCTTTACAATGCTTGCCATGTATGACAACCTGAGTAAAGGTATGGGTCAGAGTCGGAAACCAAGGTGGACAGGATACCATCAAACACCCACTCCCAAATGGCGACTCCTTTTCCTAGCCCCGCGAGAAGAAACGAACAACCACCTCCCACCCAGTTTGGGAGGCACCCTCAAAGCTGCATCCCAGCCTTTGAGGAAGCAATCTTCTGGGTCATGTTCAAGGGACGTCCATTTTGCGCGGCCGATATGGCCATGGGTCAAAATCCCGTACCCCCAGTGAAAATCCCAATCCCCACCAAAAAAAACTAAGATGGGTGGTGCTACCCCAAAATGGTACCATTGGTTTTGACCCACGGCCATATCCCAAATGGGTGTGCAATATGGGGAAACACCCGGCACCCATCCGCCAAGCAGCTCCAGACCCTCCCTCGTCTCCAGCTTCAGGCCTCAAATACGGGCAAAACTCGATCTGCGCGCCGTGCGCCTGGACATCTGCCGGACAGGGAAGGTGAGCCACGGATTCCAAATTTTACGAAGGTTTCCCCACGAGGGATGGTTTAGTGCTCGTGCCCGGGTTTTGGTGGGAAAGTTTGGGCGCGCCGCCTGGGTTTTGCTGGAAAATGCGTGAGTCGGTCCCACATGAAATGCTGCTCATGCAGTCGATCCCAAACTCTACCAACCCAACCCAAGCCAAGCCAACCCAATTCGGACCGCCAGCCCTAAGAAAAAGCCAGTCCAGGAAAACAAAAACTGGTCCGTCTGCCTTGAGGTAATCGAAAACTGAAGCAGAATCAATACCTACTTCAAAGCAGGGGACGCCGCCAGCAAGGTTCCAACATTTTGCCTAAGGCGTCCCGGACCCCTGTTGTCTGGTCGCAGGGGGGAGGGTCTGACATACTGCGTTCTAAGCCAGCAAACGTCTATTTTGGGGAACAGAATCATCCCGTGGGGAAGGGACTTTCTTTTGGAGTTCCATATTTTGAAGGAGAGTGCCAGTGCGGATGCTGGACCAGGCAAATAAGGGCAGCATGACTTGGCAAGTCATGCCGAGCTACCCCGCCCTGGGAAGGAGGCAATCCAGACTGGACTTCAAGAGCCGAGCGCAAGCGCAAAAAGACGCTCAACGAGCTGCATGCAGAGAAGCCAGCTTGACCTCTGCTGAGATGCTGAAACTAACCGCAACCAATTTGTTTCACAGAGTCAATTCAAACGCTACACGTACATGCCGCACAAGACAGCAGACATTCTCTGCAGACGCTTCAAGAGCCATAGTTTCTCCAAATACAAGGGGCACATCAATTCACGATGAGCCAAAAGCCTAATGTTGCCCCAGTCCCGGCTCTCCAACCCGGCTCCGAACCGAAAAACCCGCAATCCGGACGGCTCTCCAAGGCCGGAGCCGATCAGCAAGCAAGACAGGGCGAAGCTGTCGAGGCGGTCATCCCACTTGGGCTCGTGGCTCAGGTACATCTGGGCTTCTGGGATCCTCCGAAAGGACTTCGTCAAAAATACAACAGTGGTGGGCATTTGCGACAAGGTCATGGTGATCCCTGCAGTTTGTCTGCGGCTAACAAAAAACCACCCTGAAGCCATGCTTCTAAGTCCCCTAAACGGCTTGTAAGCCGGGCTATTAGCTACATACTAAGTACAAGTACCCTGCTCCTCTAAGTAGTTTACCCTTGGATCCTCCACCCTTCGATGCGGCCTCTGCCACTCGCCCGACGATCGGTACTCAATATCCACGCGGCAGAACCTGCACGGGCTGCCAACCACTGTGAGAGTGAGCATCCAACCTGTGAACCTCTGAAACAACACAACCTGGGGAGGGGGGGGGTGACCGCCAACCTGTTTTGAGGGCGTCCCATGCCCCAACGATGAAACAAAGTGGGGTGTCACCCCACAATTTTGGGGCAACCCACTTTTCATGGTAGCAGCAGCTTGCCTGCTATGACGAATACTCGCCACAGAAGGCCATGTCATTGAAGAGGACCCATCAGACTCCTGAAGGTGGTGCCCGTGACGAAAAAGGGGAAAGGGGCACCTCGGAGTTGGCACCGTTTTCTTGGGCCTAGGGAAACTGGAGACAGTTTTGTTACATTGACATTTTTGCCCAAAAGCGGCCCGTTCGAACCCGGCCTATCAACTGAGTCCACCTCTGCGAAAGGTAGCAACACCTCCAGGATTTCCTTGGGCGGCTGTCGATCCGAACCCCGGCCAAAGAATTCGATGCCAAGACTCGCACATGGAAATGGGGTGGTCCAAGCGAGCAATACTCCTAGCGGGGCTCTTCAAAATGCGGAATCCCGGATTGCCTAACTGGTCATCCGCAGGGGAAACCACAACAAGCAAAAGCCACGACCATGCAATAAGGATTCAAGATTGATTTTCATCAACCTGTCCTTTACTTGGAACCTTCTTTCCAGTTGGGGTTTGATACCTCCGTCTACCTGGGCTTTGAAATTCCGGATCCCAGCAGCTTCTGCCCCCTTTTTGCATGCCAAAACTTGCCGCCGAAGCTCCAGCTTGCCGGTGTTGTGCCAGGCTCGCACGTCTGGAGCACCTTACCGGCAAAGCGCGGCCGCGACAATGAAGCATGCCTGGACCCTCAAACCCGTTTCAAGGGGAATCCAAACCCCTCGCCCACTTCCATCGGAGGGTACACTAAAATGGGCAGGGCACGGCTCAGAGGGGCCCAAAACTCCATCTTTGAACGGCTGGCCCTTGAAGCCCTGAAGCCTTGAAGCCCTGATATCCTGTTTACCCTCTTCAATAAGCATTCTTGAGAACCCCTCCACTAGTACCCCTGGTCACCCATGTCCTTCCAGGGTTCACATTACGGACTGCCCTTCCGATCTCCATTGTCAAATCCACTTAGTACCTTACACGAACAGTCAACAAATGGGACAAACGGGGTCAGCTGCATAACCGACTGACTAGGTCGGTCTGATCCACTTTGTCGCCGCTTGAACCCCCAACCGATTCACGGCTTTTCGGAGCTCTTGCACCTGGCTGGGGCGGCGCCGGCTGCAGCGGCATTGTCTGGGCCTCGCAGAAGTCGCTCTGAGCACCCAGCACCTCCTCGGGGCCAAGCTCATGCCTTTCTAGAAGTTCACGTTTGATCACCTACTGTGGGTGGACGAAATCTTGCACCACTTGGAAACTATAGGAAACCAGTGTTTCTTGGTATTTGCTGTCTTAGGTGGTGCAGGATTTTGTCCACCCACAGTATGGATTAAACCTTGGCTCCCATCCAATCTGCAAAATGGATTTCAACATGTTTAGACAACCCTTGGTCTCTCATGAGAATCATGCACCTGTGTGAACAACCTGTGGTCAGAGCCGTGTCCTTCACCGACGAGGCGGCATCTGGCACCTGCCAGCCGAGAGAGGTGTTGCGGAGGGTATGCTGCTCTTGTCACCAGGTTTGCTGACAGCCTTGCTGGGCTCCAATCCGCACCGGTGTCGAAACGTGTGTATTTGTTAAAACGTAGACATTGTGCGCATGAGATTGAGGTTTGGCCGGTGGGGTTGAAGGCTCCGTCCGAAGGTGTATAATTTCTGGGTCTTGCTTGCAGCCTTCTGCCTTCTGGGAGTCAATTCCACACCGCACGCCCCTTTTAAGTCCCCGGCCTGATGCACGCATTGCACGGCAAAGCGGTAGGGGACGCCACCTCGGCAGGTGGGTGACAGATCACTGGTGGGAGTTGGGTCCACTTGTTGGAGGTAGGGGCCCATTGGAGACAAACCCAACGGGTTTAAATGTTCAGCAGGTCTGTACACATGTCTCTCCTGTTGGCAGTGGACAAGTGTCGGCTGCATTTGACCAAAACCACAGCCATGGACCTTCTGGCGCACCTTGCGAGATCCAAGGGTGCGAGCCGTCTTTCTGGAAATCTCAAACCACTAGCTTCGATGCTTTTTGCAAATCGCACCGGACATGGCACCGGAAAAGCACAAACTCCATGTTTGCTGGTGGGGCGACCAAGAAATCCGCAGAGCACCCACCAAACCGGTCCCGTGCTGCCCGTGCTTTCGCTCGAGCTACGCTGGAGGTGTTCGATCTTGAAGCTCCGCCGCTTTTCAAAGTCCCGCAGCTCACGGTTCCAGACATCCAACTCCTCCAGAAAAGACCACCCCTCGCCAGGGTTCCGTTCTTTTGCCCATAGGCCCATAGGGTTTAACCATCATCTTGCGTTTTGGATTTGGACATGAGCTTCCTTGTGATTCGATGTGAGGCAACTCCTGGAACTTGGCGGATGGCTTTTTTAGGAGAGCCAAGAGGATACCAACCGCTGTAGTGTAACCCAAGGGACGGATTGAGGATCGTTCCAAAAAGAACAGCCCAGCTGCCCTCTTTCCCATCCCTGACGTGGACAGGGGAGCTTCCCAAAAAGAATGTCTTCCACAACACTCCTGTCCGCATCCACTGTTAGAGGGGGGTTAAGAGATGGGGGCGGTCTCAAAGAAATCAAAAGTGGGCATGAGTTTTTCTTCTTGGTCTTCCTTTCAACCAACCCAGAAGGGCACTGTTGGGTTGTTGAGCTGTTGGGCAGCCCCAAAACCTCCAGCTTGATAACCCCTCATAGGCACATAGTCACCAATGGTCACTAATTGGCTTCGGCTGGGGCGCCCAACAAAGAGGCCGTGCCACAGGAAGGCTAGGGCTCCTCTGATCAATGATGACTGCTGCAAGCCCAATCTCTGCTTGTGAACCGTCCTGATAGCAAGCAGACAAAGTTCAAGCATTGCACCATTTGATGGTCAGGTGTTGCCACGAATTTGAGAATTCCTAAAGTATTCAAGCATTCCTCGCCAGCGCTGCCCCCGTTTGGAGGCGTGCCAGGGCTACTGGAAAGTCTCACCGCTATTCTGTTCATTCCGCTATTCTGTTCAATTTCCATGGTGTCCACATCCTGTTGGCTTTCACAATTGAAATGTTGGCTTGCATCTGTTGTAGCCTTCATGATGTGGCCCTGCGATGCCTTGTCAGGTGCAGGCTTCAACTAGTAAATTTCAGGCAAGAGCGAGAGCGAGAGCGAGAGCGAGCAAGAGAGAGAAAGAGGGAGAGAGACCTGAGAGACCAAGAAAGAAAAAAGCAAACAAACAAACAAACAAACAAACAAACAAACTAACAAACAAACTAACAAACACACGAACGAACGAACAAACGAACACACGAACACGCAAACGAACACACAAACGAACGAAGACAGGAAGGAAGGAAGGAAGGAAGGAAGGAAGGAAGGAAGGAAGGAAGGAAGGAAGGAAGGAAGGAAGGAAGGAAGGAAGGAAGGAAGGAAGGAAGGAAGAAGGAAGGACGGAAGAAAGAAACAAAGGAAGCAGCAGCAAAGAAGAAGGGTGGAAAACAAGACAGAGAGTGCAACTGAAAGAGACAGGAAGAGACACGACAGAGACACACAGACACAGCAGGGCCACAGACAGAGAAAAAGAGAGAGAGAGAGAGAGAGATATTGAGAGATAAATCTAAATGACAACAGCAGTACGGTCGAGTTCCCTTGCCAAATTTTGGGACTCCAGCATACGACACCCACCAGATGCTGGTCCAGCCTCGCCGGCCATGCCACCTTCCAGTGTCTGCTGCGTGCGAGGAATGACCGGCTCCTCCAGATTGAGCGCTCGCACGGGGGAATTCAGAGCCCCTAGAAGCACCAAACCAAAGTAGAGGTTACTGGAAAGGGGCTGGGGCTTCTGAAGATTCACAAAACTGCTTCACCTGAGATCGTTGTACATCTGCGTCCGTCATTTGCCCATCTGAGACCGCGTTAACCCTTTGCCAACTTTTCTACGGACTTTAGGACAGGTCGCGATGTGCAGGACTTGCTAAAATCAAGGGTGTCCTCAAAACTGACCACAATCCAACTCTCGACCATGACATGTTTCTCACGCCATCAATCTTAATAAGGAACCACTCAAAAGTGGCTGATGGACATGAATCCCCTCCGAATTCTGATGTCTACCAACTTGGGTACAAATTGAGCAACATGTCCATTGTACCTGGCTGCGTGCTTCCTGGAAAATGCTCCCATGGTTTTGTATGTAAAAGGGATTTGAGGGGGTTTCCATAACAAGACACACCGGCGCTTTCCCCCATTCAAAGTCGAGCCGCAATGTGCAGAATGTGCTTGAGGATGGGCGGGCAGTAGGTGGCAGCCAAGGGCGGCACCCAGTGCAGCAGTGCGGAACAGCTGTCAGCCCCTGGCTCCAGGATGACGTCCTCCTCGCGTATGGATCCAACCGAGGGAACCGGAAGAAGAGCGAAGATCGCTTTGAATCAAAACCATGGAAAAAGGAAATGTGGAATCTGAAACTGCCCACCCTAGCTGAAGCTCCATGCTTTTGTTGGGTAGTTCGAGGCTCCGAGGTATTTACGCCTGACAACCGCAGACTCTCGCGCAAAGCGTTCCGAGCCCGGCTCCAGGACGGGTGCCGGGGGGGAGGGCATGTGCACTGCGAAGCTCACCGGGATGCCCACCTGGCCGGGACGCCATTTGGGAGTGGGGGACCCTTTCGGGTTGCCAAAGGGGAAACCAAAAGGAAAACCACAATTTGGGGGACCCCCAAAAAGAAACACCTGATTTATAGATTTGTGTTTTTATTCTACGTAAAACAAAATGGTGGCAGCTTGTACTTGGGTGACGTTGTCAAGGTTACGAATTGGGTGGCCCTAAAGGGGTTCTGCCAAGTGGGGTTGTGTTCTTGAGGCTCCCTTTTGGGGGGGCGCTAGTAGAAAATAGAACCAAAGGAAAGGGTCGATATGTTCTTTTTGGGCTGTGCGGATACCCTTGTCAGGGTAACAACCTTCAGGCTTTTCTCGCACATCTTGTTGTGTGAAAAGGGGCAATGAGGACAGCCAGAGGTCCCGATGTGGTGTGCCTTTGAGGGCGACCCCATTTTGTCTGCTCCTTTAAATGGAACCACAGACAGGATGGTAGGATTTCAACCCAAGTTCTATTCAACAGGTGTGTGGTGCGCAAACAAACAAAAAAAGGAGATCCCCATGGCGCAGGTGGCTATGGAAGCTGGCAAAAGAGTTGCGGAGGACTACTTGCCATTTCAAAAAGCCTCCTGTCCACGACTGTCGGACATTCCAAGAAAAGACCCTGTTTTTCCAACCCCCGCACCTGCTTTTTCGACCCCTAACCTGTTCTTTCACCCCCTTGTTATCTTCATGGGCCAGCAAAACAGGGTTGGTTCAGAAAAGCTGGGTCCCCATCCCCAACGCGCCGGCGGCGTCCCCAGTTTGCACCCCTTCTCAACTTAATCTGCAGCGGAACTGAAGACCAAAAGTAGCTCCAAGCCGTTCGATCTCACAACCGGTCGAGCTGTGTCTGAATTTGACTGCTGTCACCTCCCTTATTGGCAGCACCCCACGTCACCACAGAGCCATCATCTCGAACGGCAGCAGAAGCACCCTCAGTTGCTTGGATCTGTTGGATCCGCACTAACTGCCCTTGCACATGGCTGCTGTCACCGCCCCAATCGGGATCGCCCCAGATCACCACAGAGCCATCATCTCGAATAGCCGCAAAAGCATTATAAGTTGCCTGGATCTGCTGAACCCCCACCAGCTGACGTTGCACCTGGCTGATTTTGCCGCCGAACAGAGAATTGCCCCAGGTTACCACAGAGCCGTCGGCCAAGATGGCGGCAAAGGCACCTGCTGTTGCTCGGATCTGCTGGACCTGCACCAACCGATCTTGCACCAAGTTGCTGTCACCGCCATAGTCAGAACAGCCCCAAGTCACCACAGAGCCATCAGTCAGAATGGCGGCAGAAGCACGACTGGTTGCCTCAATCCGCTGGACTCCAACCAACTGCTCTTGCACATGGCTGCTGTCACCGCCCTTGCGAGGATTACCCAAAGTCACCACAGAGCCACCGGATGCCAGCCGAAGCACTCCCATTTCCTACACTCTCATTCCACAACGTGCCCTTCGGCACCAAAACGCCATCAGCAAACTCTCACAAACAGGGTACCGGTGGGACTCCAAATCACTTGCAAGCCTCGCAGGATGGCGACAAACCTGTCACGCATTGTAAGGATCTGCTGGACCCCAACCAACTTCTCTCGCACCTTGCTGCTGTCACCGCCACAGCCAGGATCGCCCAGGTCACCACAGAGCCGCCACCCAAAACGGCAGCGAATGCTCGCTCAGCTCCTTCGATCTGTCTGATGCCCACCAACTGCTCTTGCACCTGGCTGGTGTCCCCTCCCTGGGAAGGATAGCCCCATGCAATCGCTGTGCGTCCTGCGACATAGCATGTGAAAGCTCCATGAGTCGATGCTAGCTTCAAGGGCTGCACGATGGCACTAATGCTGTCCCCGTCTCGCACACCCACATCACTCAAAGTAGATGACAAATCTAGCAATCTCCGCCGAAAGCAAGCCTCAAAAAGCGGAGATTCAATTTCCCCTGCACCTCCGCCTTCAGTTCATGGACGGTCGCCTGAGAAGGCAGCGTAACAGAGCAGCTCCTCCCACTTGAAAGGCACACATTCACTTCCATGGCGCGTCAGGTCACAAGCGAAGCTGGAGCAGTCGACCTCCAAGAACCAAGTGGCTTGCTGAATGGCCTCCTTTGCCTCCTTTGCGCTTGATATGCCGACGCCCTCCCTCAGAAAGGCTGTAACTGGGCTTGTCAAGATTCGGTGCCCTAAAAAGGGATCTGCTGCATTGCTGCCTTTACTTTTTTAAGGGTCTGTCCTCTTGCCAGCCACCCGCCAGCCAACATATCGCCCTAACTCTCAAACAAGGAGCCTCGTGGAACCCAAATGTCATGAGGCCTATCGAAGGGGAGGAGCTCTTAAGAAGGGGACAAATTGTTGCTACCCTATTCAAGCATCATGCTTCCGGAAATCTGCCGAACGGCCACGTGTGCACCGATTGCAAGTCAGCTGCGCAAAACAATCGTGAAAAGGTCAGATGGCGTGCGCGCGCAATGGTGGGATGGGGCAGCCTGGGGAGGATTGCGAATCGAGATTTGTGCATTGCAACCGCAATCGTTGGTCAATGTCTCGAATCGAGGGAAAAAGGTTGGAATTCACTGAACTTGGCCAAAAACAATGCTAGACGTTTTCCCCGCACTTCTTGGCCTAGAACTTCTTGCGACGATACCCGCGCCAAGTGGGTTAGGCCACGTTCGCATGACTCTCTTGTGGCCTGGAAGTTGGGGTGCACAAGACTTCTTGTAGGCTTGTTTTAGCCCAACACTGGGGTACACCAACACAACCTCAAAAAGTAAGCCTCAAACCACAAAACAGCTTTGTGATTGTGCGCCAGGTATGCACACAGCCCACATGTTCAAAGCAAGTCCGAATAGTCACTCATGATCAGCCAATGGGGTGTGTGTCTGATTCGTTTGAAGGGAAACCGAAAGGTAAACCTTTGAAGGCCCCCTATTTTAACACACACCACGAAAGGGTGTTTGGCCGGCGGGGTGGTGCGGCCGCTCATCTCGCCAATTGACGCCATCAACCCAAAGGTTCGCACACCGCTGAAAATAGTGGGGTGGGTCTGGAAGGTTGCTTTTTTGGTGTGAGACATTTATAGTGGGTTCCTTGGAACTGCCAATCTGATTCTCAGTGGGTGAAGTAACAATGTCAGATCGATCTGCGCCCAAAAACAAAGAAATGCATTTGACCTCCCTGTCACCAGCAAACAAAATCCACTTGATTTCCCCCTCCGCCGAAGACATCAGCTGACTTACTGCGCAGACCATGGCAGGGCTACGACGCATGCACTCTGACCATCCTTTCGCGCTCGCTGGCAAGCCCAGCACCATGACGTGGGGCATGCACGTGAGCCGGGGTCAGCTGCACCCTCACCCGGGATTGTTGAATATTCGTGACTATTCGTGACGATTCATGACTATTCGTGACCACGGACGGTCCACAAAGGACCACTGAGCTTCAAGGGTCAGCATCTTCCCTCAGCTCTCCCTTCCTTTGCTCGAAAACCAGTTACTCAGCGCGCCCCCACTACTTCCCCCTTGTGTGATTGCTGATTGTACATACCGCTGCCCATTCATTGTCCGCCCCAATCCACCGCGAACGGGTTCAACACATGGCCATAGGTGTCCTTTTGGAAAAGCATAGATTATAAAACCACCAGGCCACCCAGGAATCGCCAGCGATTTTCCACCAACAAGGACACGCAGGGATCGGCATGGCTTCCGTCGCCTGCTTCAGCGGCACTCTGCCCTGGTCCGAGACGAAGAGCCTCACGTCGAAGCCCCGGTGCTCCGTGACGCCCCAGGGCGCCGTCAGCCACAGCACCGCCTCCCGGAAGACGCCGGAGGAGCCTGACAGGACACCGAAACAGGGCCCCGCAGTTTGGGGTTCCTTTCGTGTCCCAAAAGAGATGAGGCCGGAATTTGTCCTGAAATGCTTGCAGGTACCACACTTGGGGGGGGGGGGGGGCAAAACGCACACTGACTTGTCCTGCGCCGCGCATACCGCAAAAGCCTGAAATCGTGGGCTACTTGGCCCATGGCCCTGTTGCTGGTGCAAAACCTCGAAAACGAGCCGCCGAAAGCCCAACCACAGCGCTCCCAAGCAGCTCGCCTGGTGGCAGCGGCGTGGGCAAGCCTCGGGTAAAGCAGCAAGAACCTCCACGGCAACATTTGGGGACTTTAACACCATAAACACCAGAAGGGGGAAGTCTGCCGGGACGGCAAGCGAGCTTCTTGCTCGATCTGGGCCCCCGCGCTCCCGATCTGCGCGAAAGTCTTGACCTTCTGCCCGTCGAGCATCCAGCCCTTCTGCTCCTCACAGCCCGGCACGCGACAAAAAATAAAAATCAGGCCACGAATCCAGACTGTGACTTGTTTCCCCAAGAGCTAAATGAACCCCCAAGAATATCGCGGAAGAGTCAAATCGGCACAACCACACTGGACCCTCAAACCACCCCCAAAAAAGGGGGGAATCACTGAACCAATCTTCCCCAAAGAAACGTGTCCCAAGGTTGGACGGAGTCCTGACTCTCAGCTCCAGTTGACTGCCCACCGCAAAATTGGGATGCGGGGGAATGACTGCGGGATGGGAATAAATCAACCCAAACCGAAACAGAAGTCGACCAAAATCATGCGTCGAAAACCAGGCAAAACAAAATGGTGAACATGTCTCTGGGGGCTCTGCGAACAGGGCTGGAGCCCATGCTAGATATGCCCCCCCCCACCCAAAGATACAGCGACGATTGGCAGAAGGGCGATTCGGCGCCAATCCCACACTATTCGCACCCCAACTACCATTATAAAAGAACAACCCAGCGACCATAGAGCAATGCCAATAGCGAGCTTTGGGGAAGGTCAAAACCCGCAAACTCCCCAATGACATGATGCTTGCCGAGAACCCAACGAGTAACACACCACTGTCAGGTCCATTCATTTCAAAGCGTGCTTGATGTTCAAGGGAAATGTCCCCCCTCCCCCGCTCAAAGAAAAGGCGCAAAAGGGGACCCTTAAACTTGACTTGAAAGGGAACCCCTTTCACCAAAGAGTTGAGATTTACTCCGCCTCGATGTGGTTGAAACGGTGCGAAATCAAACCCTAAGAGGCTTTAACCGGCGGGTCGGGAGGCTCCTCGGCCCAGGTCATCCGGGACGGCACGACGGCCACCACGGGGCACTTCCCCAGCAGCGGCACTGTCTCCGAGCCGAATCTCACCTGAGAGGTCCGGGTCCGCTCTCTCGTGGCCGAGTCGACGGGGCTTGCGTGGCCGAGCACGCGAATCCAGCGACCACCCAAAATGTCGAGGGCCTTTTTTTAGAGAGTCGCCTTTTTGAGGGCTTCTGACTTTTTGAGCACCCTCCTTTGTCAAGGTGTTGGCTGTGCCCGAACGACTTTTTGCGACCAAAGGAACATTGTAGGACATGACAAGGTTGAAAAAGGGAGGGCGCAGCGGAAGCCTCTTTTCCAAAGGCCTGGTTGGTGATGGTGGGTTCGGTTGGTAGGTCGGTCGGCGTGTGGCTAGTAAAGATAGGGGCCAAGCCTCGTCGAAGAGCCGCCTAGTAAACAGCTTCAACTCCTTTCCTGTGGAGCACTGCAGTCAAGCCCAAAGTGTTGGGATCTACAAGAATCCACGAAAGCAAGCCATGTTGTGTCACCGAGCGATTCGGACTCCTCTTGGACGAGTTTGTTTAGGACAACTAAAATGAGTCACCATTGGAATTGGGGGCGAAACTAAGCTCATACTGTGCGTGAATCGGGGCCGTCTTGGGTACTTTCGACAGGAAGCCTTGGAGGATTCCAAATCAGTTTTGACATATTATTTGGATCGTGCAGTTGAGTCTTACGCTGACTGATTTGACGTCCAGGGTCGAAATATCTGACACGCGTTGCTTCCGGGAGATTCTGCTGCCCATTTGACTGACCAGCAGCCATGTCATCAATGCCTCCGGCAAACGAATCACCTCCTTGGAAGGCCGACATCATAGCCAATGCACCACAGAAAATATACAAAGCCGCAATGGGAAGAATCACTCCAGACTTCGTGGCACACAAGCCAGGCGGTTTCACACGCTCTCACAATCAATCAAGCCGAGTCTGAATCTCACTGCTGTCACACCGTAGTCAGGATCGCCCCCACATGCACACAGGACCATCATCCAGGAAGGCGGCAAAAGCACGCTGTCTTAGCTGAATCTGCTGGACGCGCGCCAACTGCTCACGCATCAGGTGCTGTCACCGCCGGGAGGATCGCCCCAAGTCATGACAGGGCCATCGTGCAGGCTGGCGGAGACAGCATGCCCGGTTGCTTGGATGCCTACTGCGTCAAAGCCGTCCCCATCTCGCCGCCCCCCTCACGCGAAGCAGACAACGGATCTAGCTGCCGGCTGACGCCCGAAAGCAAGCTTCAAAAAGCGGCGCTTGAAGTGCTGCTGTGCTCAACCTTCGGTGCGAATATGCTACCGTCGAGCGGCATTGCAACAGAGCAGCCCTTCCCGCTTGGCAAGTGCACATGCACTTGCATGGCAAAAGAAGGCCTCTGACCCGTACCGAAGGGCAGAGGGTTTGAAGCAATCGCTTGCGGCGGCTTGTTTTGGCAGGCATCATTGGCACAGATCAGCTACACACCACCCCCCCAAAGAAGGCATATTTCCCCCAAGGCTTCTCAATCACCCTAGAAAAAGTCTTCGGTTGCGGTGGCAGCCTCCCAGATGAAAAACAGCAGACTCAAACATGCCTCTCTCCAGCGCAGTGTCTCCCCTCAGCTTCTTGATCTCAACCAGGAGAATCAAGAAGCAAAGCACCTCTTGGGGGGGAAAAAAAACGGCTTGCGACGAGTTGCATTGCAAACAATCCGCTCTCCCCCTTGATAGCTCCGTTGGTCAATCGCCAAGATATCCGAGACGTTCTTCATTGAGCTCAACAGCGCATTCACCTGAAGGCATGCCCACGGTGTGCAAGTCCAAGGGCGCAAACAGACAGACAAAACGATGCCAACCACCCCCAAAATGGCGGCTTTCTCTTTGCTTCTCAAAATCACCTCACAAAGGGTACAACTATCCTAAAAATACAGACCCACCAGGGTCTCAATGCAAAAACAACGCGTGCAAACGCATCCAGGCGGCAGAGACACAGGGGTTCTTCTGCTCCTCAGCAAACAAGTCGATGCTGAAGTGTGTCTTGTTTGAGAGCACCCTTTTGCTTTTGGGGTGGATAGAAAGGGAATTCAAAGAAAGCCATCATTTATTGGCAGGGGTCCCTCATTTGGAGACACACCCATTTGTCTCGGCAAATGGCCTGCCTCAATGTCCCTGGGACAAGCCCCATTGAAGCCTTCCCATCTGCGACAAAAAGACCCAAAAATGGCTTTCGGTTCTGCTTTAGGTTTCCCGAACTCCAAAAACAGACCCTTTTCCATTTCCCTGGTGATTTGAAAGCAGGGCCTTCAAACCGTTGCAAATGGACATCTTTGAGGGTACCTTCTTTGGTGGCTATAGAGGAAAACCAAAAGAACACCACCATTCTGACAATCCCCTTAAGAAAAGAGTAGCGCTTTTTGTGTGGTTAAAAAAAAGGAAAACCAGGGGGGGGGGGGGGGCAAAATGGAAGACACACCCAAATGGGACACTACGGATTCCCAGCTGCCAGCCTGCCGAGGCTCCAGCGCCTCATAGACCACCCGCAGCTGCTCCGCGGTGCACTTGGCAGGGAGATACCCCTCCGAGGTGAAGAGGGAGCACGGCCTAAAAAACGATTCCCCACCCGATGAATTCCGAGCCTCGGGGCCTCCACAGGTGTGGTGTTCAGTAAGACCGAAGTGTTGCTTGAATAGTCACCCCAAACCGTTGCTTGTTTGTCTAGAAACAACGATGAGTCAAAAGGTTTGAGATTTACCATTGAGAGGTTACGGCAAAGCTCTTTTTTTGCAGATCCAAAGATCCGAGGGGAAAACAGTGGCAAATGTAGCGCCAGACAAGTAAGCAAACTGATGGTGATAGAGAAGGCCGTAAAGACCTGTTTACTTTGTGTCAAAGTCAGGTCCAAAAGCGTGTTTTCAGGAACATTCCACTAAACCTGTCGATTTCACTGACAATGTGAACTCCGCCACTGGCCAGAAAGAGATCTCAATTGCTTCTGACTGGAGATAGTTTTCGCAGAGACATTCTAGAGTAAATTCGGACAATGGGCGTTGCAAGAAACGTGGGCGATTCAAATTTGGCAGGAACTCAAATAAGTGCTTCCCCCTAATAATAGATACCCCCCTATTAATAAATATTTGCTAGAGACAAGTGATATTTATAAGAGGGCAACTAGGAGTCAGGAGCAAATGTACTTATCGCTTGCCACGGGCCATAAGTGTAACTTTGAGAAAAAAGCTCCTTGTTTTTGCCTGGGTTGGCCAGCACACATTAGAACAGACCGTCAGTGAAGTGTGTCCCTCGCCAATGTTTGCTAGCAGCTCCAGGAAGGTCGACCGGCAAACCCTGAAGCAAGAGTTCCTTTGCCGACGGCCACTGCCGTCCCCTCGGTCCCCTAGGCCCTAGGACTGGGATCCGGTGCGGGGAGTCAGCCAGTGTTTATTTTCTTTAGAAGCCTAGTCTAAAAGCAGTGGGGATCCGGGTGTCTACAAATGGGGGAAGGGACTGGTTGCTTTCGAGACGGACGCTTGGAAGGAGCCCATGCTTAAGAGCGAAGGAGAGTTGCTGGAGCATGGATGTGCTCTTGGATGGCAGGTGTGAGAGGGCTTAGTCCGCATCTGGGGTTGTGACCAGCGGGATCTGCGTCTAAGGCATCCAGCCGCTTGTCAAGTATATAAATGCTGGGTTATTCTTGGTACTCGTGCTCAAGTGCTATGCCATGCACATGCAGGCATGTCCAACACAGAAAATCCCATCCAGCCCTCTCCCGGCGCCGAGAAGGCGAATCGGGCACTCTCCAACACGTCAAGTTGCTTGGAAGAGCGGTCTGCTTTGCTCGTCACAGCAGTGCCTCGAAAGCGGAGTTGCTCTTTCCAGAAACACCATCGATGCTCAGAGAAAGTCCAGCCATTGAAAGCGCGCAAGCTGCCGAAAGATCCAGCCAAGAGTATGTGCTTTCCTTCAAATGAGTTCCCTTCCTCGCTAAACAAGCTGATTTGGCGGTCGCCAAATGCAAACAGCTCAAATTGGCATGACAAGGCAAAGAGCGAATCTTCTGTGGCTAGTCTTGATCCTTTCCAACGGAGCCCAAGTGTGGGTATGCACACCACCTTTCACCCTCGATCGAAAAATCCGTGTGCTTGCCTCAAGTGAGAATGAATCCTCCAACAACCCCCCGGATTTGTGTGTTTTCCGCCTCAAACGCCTCCCAAAAATATAATAGGTTGGAACCCCGTAAGGGGCTCGGATTTTCAACGGGAAAGGCGCTGGCACGCTTGGCTTCCGTCTTGGGCTTGCTCTTCGCCGCCAGCTTCAGAGTCATGTGCCGATCAGTGCGGCGGATCACGTAGCGCTGGAACTCGTCCAGGGACAGGCCCTTGTCCCGGTCCTGCTTCGGCCTGCAGCCGTGTTGGGCAAGCATCGCCTTCCAGTGAGCGTGTAGAGCCCTGGAAACAGCCGCTGGGTGCGAACCACAAAAGACAAAGAGGTCTCCCTCGGTGCTACTCCACTTCACCCCGTGCAACTCGCGCGCGGCCCCTCAAGGGCGCTACGTCATTGCAAGGGGTGTCCAAAAGGCTTGCAATGCGGCTCATTGCATTTGAATTTATTGGGAATTCGGAAGCAAAAGGGTCGGGTTCCTTGAGCAATTTCGGGAGTTCCATGAACTTCCCTTGGGGTACGCCTCTGGATTCCCAAGTTGATACCAGCTCTGGGCCGAGAGGCAACTCGGAGATCAGGTCTTCAAGATCTCTGTCCGGCGGTTTGCAGAGGAATATGCTGATGGCCTCAGACAGCTTCCAATGCGGGGCTTAACGTGTTGCGAGGGCTTCACAAATTCTGCAAACAAAAAATGTGATGGCGTGATCAGATTGCGCAAGACTTGCAGATTGATATTGCAGCTGCAACCGAGTACGCCGCCAGCTCTTCCAAGGAGTAGTCTGTGCCTCGCAAGCGCTTGCTCTAAGTCACAGCCATTCTCATGCTGATCGCACTCCGCACTCGTGTTCATGGGCACAGGCCGCAACAGATAGGGGGCTGTCAAAAAACAAGGCCCGTTCTGGACCCTGGTCCTGGTGCCGCCTTGTGCCGTTAATTTTGACAACCCTCCAGGTGGTGTGCGTCAAGCCAAACACAAAGCATGCCAGGTCGATCCAAAACAATCCTTCTAGCTCAGTAGCCGTCATCCGGCAGCTTGATCTTGCGCTTGCCAGAGGCGTCCTGCCATTCGCCCCTTGCCACCCCTTGCAGAATGCAACAAGCCCTGGATGTGCATGTGAGCCCGGCATGCGCTGGCAAGGAGCTATCTCAATGCAAGCCAACCGTCTGAAATTCTGCAATTCAATGCCAAATTCCTTTCTGACTTGGCGCCATCATATGTGTCATCCAGCTGTACAACTTTCTAGCGATGCAAACTCCATCCAACGTTCCATCCAACTGAGGGCCCTTTGATAACCCCGACCCCTTGCAACGTTCGAAGGAGAACACGTTCCACAAGGAGGAATCCCGAGTTTTGCATGAATGACGGTTTCCCACCCCTCTCATCCAAGGAGTCCCCCATGAGTATCAAAATAGGGAACCCCCTCTTAGGTTCTATTTTGCCACCTCCTTCATTTCAGGCACTGGCTTTTCAGGGTAGGCGGCAAAATCGACTCGAAGCCTCCGCGGCACGGAACCCAGAATTCGCCTTGACCTCCAGCGCCTCCAGGAAGCTACAGACCTGCGCCGTTGGCAGCTCCAGCAGCTCGGAGATCTTCTCCGCCTCTCCGTCTGAGTCACCCAACTTGTTGCTTTTTTGGTTCGGAAGCTAAAAGTTCGGTGATTTTCCCATGTTTGGATTTGGAAGGCAACCAAGGGCTCCCTTTAAACCTTTAAAGACCAAGAGGAGAATGGCGGAAAACTACCCTTCGGATCCACTGGGAAAGGGAAGCCAAAGGCTATGTTGATTGGGGACGCCTTTTGGGTGGACGTCCACCACTTGTGGTGGTTCCAACTCTTAACATAGCCAAGACCATGTCTCTTTCGTCATTTTGTGTGGGACCCGGATTTACGTCGGTTTGAATATCTAGGGTATACCCAGGTTGGTTAGCCCCTTTAGGTCGGCGTTTTGGTGGAAACAAAAAGGACAGCGGAAATCCATCTTGGAGTGCCCCAAGCTTGGGGCAAGTCCGAGGCTGTTGCAACAAAGAGGCGAGACCACGCTTTTACCATTGGGTTTTGGTCGCCTATGATTACAACATATCCTCCTGTTGGTGACCCTGGATGGGTCGCAACAAATGGGTGTCCCTTGAATGCTAAACATGATTGTCCTTTGGTGAAGCAATTGGAATCCGTTTACACTAACTCTTTAGGGTTCCCCGCCTGAGTTGTTAAAAAACCAGTTGGACTGCGTTGGGTGGTTCTGGCGCTGGAAAATCTTAACCCGAATTGCTGGCCCCCTGTCTTCATGGGTTTGGTTGATTCTCCCCAAATCGACTTCAATCTGGTGGTTGATTTCCAGCGAAAATGTCTTTGCATTTTTCTTCATGGGTTTGGACCCCTGTGTGTTTTGATGCCCTCTTACCGGAAACCTTCAAAAGGTGGGCTGCAATCTGCCGGCATGGCCTTTGGGAGATTATTTCTTGGGCACGCCATACCGCTGATCGAATTTTGAGAGGATGCTGATGGCCAGGGTAGCCCAAAGGTATCCCCGAGAACTGGGGTCGGGCCAAGGAACCAACAACCCATCACGATACTTGAAGCTTCATGGGATGCGCCTTCCGAGAAAGCGCTCACAAGCATCCAAAACGCACAGGTGGAAGAACCCACACCAACCAACTCGTGCGCCTTGAAACCCTTTGTTTGGGTTGAAATCAACCAAACCAAACCAAACCAAACGAAACCAAACGAAACCAAACCAACCAACCAACCCCGCCCAAATCACCAAGGGCGAGTCCGTCGCGCCTGTACCTTGCCTGCTGCACCAGTGGCAAACTCCACCTCACTGTCCGAGTCTTTGTCTTCGGACGCCCTGGCAACCCGCACGGGAGCCGGAGAAGGACTTGAAAGATGAGCACCCAGAAAGCATCACCCTGCAAACAGGGGAATATAATCCCCAGCTGACGCCAAATGTCACGGTTTGGGGGAAAAGTGGTGTAGGCAGGCCGGCATGTTTGCTCCATTCTGCCAGCCGATCACTGGTCAACTACCAACATTGCCTTTCCTCTAGCTTGCAGCCGCAACCGCGCTTGTTTAGCACGCAGGAACTCCACCCCAAAGGCGCTTTTTGACACTCGCTTTCACCCTCAACTTGCTGGTGCTTGTAGTGGGGATAAAGGCAATGGCTCTAGTGGCCTCGATCAGGTGACTGGCCGCAGAAAACTTTGGAGGCTTTACATGGGTTTCCTTTCCGCAAGTCCCCTCCCACTTTGCCTGCCCTCTCCCCGGCCTCTTGACCTCGCTCATGAGTGTGGGCAGCGAGCCTTGTGTCAACCTGCAGGGATGCCCCTGTTGGAGTGCCCGAATCGAACTTTCGAACATCGCGTCGGCCGAGACATGCATTCTCCAGATCCCTTGCAAGCCTTTCTGAGAAGATGCACATCTCAATTTAGTAAAGATTTCGCGACGGCCAACAGCATTGCATCATCATCTTTGTGCAATCCCCAAATCACTGTGAACCTATGTCTCGTGAAGCACCCTTCCAGGACGTACCTATCTTCCAGGACGTAGCTTTCCCAAAGACCTTCTTGCATCTTCAGCCATAGCCAAAACCGATGGTATGCTAGTTTCTAAAAGCATTGTGATACGAGGTCCAACCCAACATCCAAAGTTACAGAAGCAAAAGGGCGCCCATCCACACCTATTGTGGGTGGGGACTGTCCTCTACCTGGGTCGCTCCAAATGGGGGGATCACGGACATCCATAGTCCGAATCCGTTATTCACTAGCAGGCCGCCACCACAAGGCAAACCACAAGCACACGGAAGGCAAACGGCATTTCTTTTGAACCCGGCAACCTGCAAAACACATGGAGTTGTCAATTGTCTTTTTGTTCGAGTTGGGAAGCCGATCTCCGCCAGGCTGCAGGATGCGGCGCCGGATCGAGGCAAAGGACACCGAAGGGGCCACCTGAAATCGAAGAAGCCATGCGGGCTGAGCTCAATGTGGCCAAGTATGGTTGACGTAACGTTGTTTTACCCTCTGGCTTTGTGTTTGACGATAACCATAAGCCGACAGTTACGGAGAGAATGACAGGGGTTCCGCAGGTCCCCCGCGACAATATGGCAGGGGCATACGTGCCCTAATGATTACATTTCTGTCCTGGACCTGGGGTATGGAGTATGGAGGGCCAATTGGCTTTTCCTGGGCTCGAGGTTTTTGGACCAGTTGGCCCCTGGTCCACGTAGGTAACCAAGAAACCAACTCTTAAACTAAAGGGAAATGGCGATCGGTTGTCTACCATGGCGGTAGCTGGCATCGACTGGATATCAGGGCCCAAATGCTAAGATGTTTACAGGGGGGCACGTTCAGACTAAATCCTGGCATCACAAGAGAACACGTGCGTAATTGTGTAAGCCCCAGATTTCAAAAATGAACCCAAAGTCCATGATTCATTCTAAAAGAGGAGCCTCCATGGTGCCGTCAATACAGTATCTCCCGCATCATAACTTGGTGCAGCCTAGGGGGGCCCGTTTGCTTTTCGTTTTTTTGGCACACAAGCCAAATAAGAAAAACGGAATGTGCGGATTCCTCTTGGGGAATGAGGTAAAATCCTGATTCAAAGAGCATCAAATCCACGAGATCTGAAAGGCTGGCCTCGGCGAAGGCCTGCTTCACTTCAGTCACAGACAGCGCACCGGAGCAGTTCACGTCTAGACCTGCCGGGTTTCGGTGGGCCATATGGAGAGGGCGACTCGCGACTCTGCATCCCCTTTTAGGACGGAAGCTTCTGCGCTGCCTGTTGGAGGGGGGGGGGGGCAAAAATGGATCCTGCATTTTGACGATCAAGAAATCAACAATCAAACCAGGAGTTTCAGGCTAGGACAGCAGTGCTTGAAAGAACCCTTCGGCTGCGTTTTGCACAGTTCCCTATACGTCGCCTGAAAACTTCAGCACAGCCAGCTCCAACAAACTTCGATTCGGCCCCCAAAGGTGATTTCCAGGACCCCCGGAGCGGAGCAGATCGCGCCTCTGAAGAGGCGCTGGCACTTGGCCTCGAGTTCCTTGGGCCGCAAATCACCAGGAAACTCACCTTGATTTGGCCCCAAAAGGTGATGTTTCAAACCATCCTTCAAGGGCAAATATAGGGTACCTTGACACTCGTGAAGAAGTGCTGGCGCATGTGTTAGCAATCTTGGCTCGCAGTGTCTTGGGACATTTGGAACAAAGAGCCTTGACAAGAGTTTCCATCGGTATTTATTTAAATAGGGCAGGCGGTTTCCCTTTCAGTACCCTTTACAAGCACCCAAAAAAATGTTTAAGAACATATATATATATATATATATACACATCTGTACTGCAAGAACATCTGACACAGCAAACAGCCGATAGGAAAGGGAGGAAAAAGATGGCGGAGCACGAACTGCCTAAGGCAGCCACAGGCCCAACGCGATCCAAATGCAACAAAAAACTTCAAATGCTCGAGGCAGGATTTTCTCACGAACGGATGAAGCCCTTTTCAGGGCACAGACCTGTCTCCTTTCAGCGCCTCATGCCTCAGCCATGTGTACCTGAAAAAGGATGGGGAGGCCCAAATTAGATTGGAAGGAGGCAGATGACTAGATCTGAACCAAAAGACCCCTCCCCATCCATAAAACTCAAAGGGCGGGACTGGGTGGGACTTTCAATTTGAATCTGAGCCGGAGCTCGAAATGTTGCAAGATTCATGCGTGCAGTACATGACCGTCAAACTTAAACGGCAAAATTTGTGTTTGCAAATAGGCTGCAACACCGAAACTGTCCAGATGCCAATGTTCTTCGCACTGTGTTAAGGTAAGTCAACCCTCCTTTCTTGATGTTATTTGCGAACAGTGCATTTGGGGGACCCAAATAAGCATATGCATCGCCCATCCCCAAAACCCGCACCTGTGCTTAATCATGTTTCAATCATGTCATACATATGCTGGTCATAAACTAACTCTATTTCAACACCAGTTAGTTTAACAAGCATGAAAAGCAAGGACTGGTAAAGTGCAAAAGCAAAAAGATCGGCAAAGTGTAATAAGACAGGGTCGAAACCATAATCTGGCATGCATACATCTCAGGTTTCGAAATTGTCAAACAGAATTGAGAATCTGCTTTCAAACAAGATTCGTGATAATCTGTCATTTGTCTAATGTTGAAATGCGTCCATATTAGTACTTGCTAATGGCATCCTCACTCGATTGACTGTGCCACAGTCTCTGTAAGGGTACCAAAGAAAACTACGCACTGACCACCAGCCCAATGTGCTGTAACGGTACTTAAACTAACCGTAAAACCAAATCAAAATAAACTGGTCCCAAAAGTCTTTGAGCTTTCAGAGTATAGTTTGTTTTTGCTTTCTCCCCTCACGGCACTTTCTGCTTTCGGGGCATTTTGTTTTTGTTCGTTTAAGCACCTTCGCGACACTTTGGGGGCTTGGGGGTCAAAGGTGCTGTAGTGGTACCTAAAGAAAATAAGAAAAAGCCAAGGCAGCCTAGCAGGCAAATTTGATGTTGCCCCTGTGACTTGTGGTTGTGGCGCAGGCCTCAGAACTTACCGACTCTGCCCAGGCACGCGGGTTATAGGCAATTAGTTTCTCCTTGGTGGAGGAGGAGTTCCATTTACCGCATGAAAGTGCATTTCACTGTCTGCTCTGCGCATGGCTCTATGCGCTTGCCCTGCGCATGCCTCTATGCATTTCTCTGTTTACTCTGCGCATGCCTCTATGCAGTTCGCTGTCTACTTTCCCTGCGCATGCGTCTACGCACTTCACTCTGCACTTGCCCTATGCATGCCTCTACGCATTTTACTGCGCAGTGTCTCCACGCGTGCAATTAAGCATTTCACTGTCTACTTTCCGACTCTGCAGCCGGAGCAGCGGGGACGTACTTCGCGTACTACTTTTGTACTCAAAAGTTGCGACTTTGCGCATCGGAGCTGCGGGGATGTACTTCGTGCACTACTTTTGTACTTAAAAACTTTGCAGCCGGAGCTGCGGGGGGGGACTTCGCATACGGCTTTTGTACTTAAAAGTTGCGACTTTGCAGCCTGATCCCTGCAGATGGTCGCGCGCAGACCGCGAAGATATGAAGATTCACACGGGAGCACAGCGAGAGCACAATCTCCGCAAGAATTCGCACGGGACCATAGCGAGAGCGATCCGACACGCGATCCCCGCAGAGGGTCGCGTGCGGCAAGAATCGAGTTTTTTTTCGAAAAATAAAACAAAAAAAACACGGTTTTTGCACCTCGACCAAGCCGATCCTCGCAGAGGGTCGCGCGCGCACGGCAGAATCGCAAAAACACCCTCAGCTTTTTGCACATCGACGCCGATCCCCGCAGAGGGTCGCGCGCGCACAGCAAAAACCGCAAAAAAAGAAACAGAGTGTTCGCACGTCAACCACGCAGATCCCTGAGAGGGTCGCATTTTCGCAGAGTGTGCTTGGTCCCACCGCGCCGCTTTAAGATACCTGCTTTAAGAAAGCGTGCAAGTTTAAGTTATGCTCGTGCGAGAAGGAATGCAAGATCGCTACACAATTCACTGTGTACTTTCCCTCTGCGTGCCTCTATGCATTTCACTATCTACTTTCCCTGCGCATGCCTCTATGCGTTACACTGTCTACTTTCCCTGCACACGCCTCTACGCATTTCACTGTCTGCTTTCCTTGTGCGTACATCTATGCACTTGTCTCAGTACTTGCCCTATGCGTGCCTCTATGCATTTCACGGTCTACTTTCCTTGCGCATGCCTCTATGCATTTCACGGTCTACTTTCCCTGTGCATGCCTCCATGCATTTTACTGTCTACTTTCCCTGCGCATGCCTCTGCGCATTTGCCTGTCTACTTTCCTTGTGCATGCATCTATGCATTTCACTCTGTACTTGCCCTATGCATTTCACTGTGCACTTTCCTTGCGCATGCCTCCATGCATTTCACTGCCTACTTTCCCTATGCAGTTAAGCTGTGCAGAACGCAACGACTTTACCGGAAGAACCTTTCGCAATGCTTTCGGGAAAAATGGAATAATCCCCTGATTGTTACATGTTCTTTTTTTAGTACCCGTAGGCCTAGGCTTGGGAGCCCAGAGTGGCGCAAGGGTATCAAGAATAAAGCGAACAATGCCCCTATTCCATTTCTCATCTCAACTCATGTGCAAATCCAATGCCCTTCGTCTGCCATCTCACAAACCTTGGCCAATACGGCTCACATCGTATTTGCCTTGACCAATGCCAAGCTGTCTGCTAAAAGAACAAATTTCCCCAAACGAAATCTGTTCCACACAAAACCTCCTAAAAAGCATGCAAAATACCGGTCTGTACTGCGTTGTTTTCAACATCCAGGAGTAGGTGTAGATTTTATCGACTGATGGTTGAAAAAAGGTGTGTCCGATGCCCATATGCTGAACCCGCACAAGTCCAAAAGGGCTCTAAAGCGCTTCAACGCACTTTTGGATCTACTATTCTAGATTAAAGGTTCTCAGGACTCTTGATCTTGAATCTGGATCCATAAGCTGCCTGGATGAAAGCGCTTTCAAGCGTTTTGTGGTGGCCCCATATGGAACCAGCATTCAAGATCTAGAGTCCTGGGAATCTAGAGTCCAAGAGAGTGAGCCAACCCTAGCCCTACACACACACACACACCCTCACCCCACCCTAAGCCCACCCTAAACGGAAGGAGTCGCAGTCGGGCTAAACCCCTGCCGAGGCGCAGGGCTCGTCACGAGCTTCTTCGGCTCATCCTGCGGTTGACGCGAAATGGAATGGCGATCGGGTGAACAGGGGCCACTGAGTTTTGTGTTTTTGAGGATACCCTTTCCAGGTTGGTAAAGGGAAACCCTACATTGACCACGCTTGGATTTCCTCAAATCAGTTAAGCCCGGCAAATCCCTTCGCATCCTATGTTTGGCTAAGGGGGTAGAGTAGCTCCTTTTGAGTACTTGGACCCCAAGAGATCGAATGGTAGTGCCGCAGCAACCTCAAACCGCGAAGCAAGCCCCGGAGGAAACAAGAATCGACCTTCGCAGAACCCTTCGTTACACAGCAGGTAACCCGGCGCATTTTCCGTTTAGCTGTTCAAGGGGCGCGCCCTGAATGTGCGAGACCGAGACGTGATCCAGAGAAGCCGGTGGAAAATGTGATTCGCGCGCGAATCCCGAATCCCGAATCCCGAATCCCGAAAATGGGATCTTGAATCCCGAAACGTGCTTAAATTTAAATCCCGAAATTGGCAGCGACCTCCTGATCACCACTCGTGAGACCCGTCACGCGATTCCGGCAACTCCCGCTCCGGGGTTCGTGACTCACGGATATTGTGCCGACGGCAATCCGTGCGAGCCTCTTGCACACTTGCGTCAACAGCTCTGGAAACGCCCACCATTCAAACGCAAAATAGCGCCCGCCTTATTACCCATGGTGGCTTTCCTGGGATCCTCGGGCAAACAAAGGAAACGTCAAGCCTTCTTCCCCATGTGAAAACAGCGACAGCCTCATCTTCCAGAAAGCCGCCCGGCAAGAAAGGCCGGCGTCGCAGCCTCCTAGCCGCCAAGGCTCAGAACCGGACGCGCGGGTTGAAGGCACAACTTTCGACTTCGCACAATGAAAACCCGCCGTAGAAAGGGTTTCCACAAAACAAAAAAGGGGACCTGCAAGGTGGTAGGGTTTCTTGTGGTTTCGCTCAAACAACCGGCCCAAAAGGCTGCTTGAAAATGAGTCACGAGCAAAACCAACCAGGGACGGGAAGATGTGACACAATGAAACCTAGATGACCGCCTAGGTGTCAAAAAGACTCAAATGCCCTCGGCTCACATGCGGCAACGTCTGCGTCTGCGACCCGTTTAGGCCAAGGTGCTCATCCAAGTGTCGAAGCCTCGTGCACCATTCCACGAACCTGTGAATCCGATGGCATCCCGGAACAAGGTCGGCGGGTGCATGGTTTGCATTGCTCCCGGAAGATCTGCGCTAAGATTGGAAGCAAAACACTTCAACTTGACACATGTTGAGCTCGGCAGCAGAACAAGATGCTTGTTTGATGAATCTTGATGCACACGGGCCATCAATGGTAACAGCGAAATGCCACAAGCGACGTGCCCATCCTCTCCCTGGGCACTTTCACACCAACATATTTCTTCGCTGTCGTAAGACACGAGGCGCACATTATCAAGGAGAAACTGAATCAAGTGCGGCTCCAAAACCTTGGAACAAAGGAATCAACTGTTCTTAGACGAGCAGGCGCCGCCCCGTTTTGCACCGCCTTCTTGCTTTACGAATGCCCCTGCCAGCTTGCAAGGAACATCTGCTTCCTTGCAGTAAACCAAGCATACACCAAAAAGGAAACTTGTGGTTCAGAAAATTTGATGGTTTGATTGTTCCCTGGAGGCAATGTTGAGTTGGCATCCGTAAGCCTGGCCAATCTCTGCTCTGTGCTCGGGGGCCCTGCGCTGGCACTGGCAGCTCGGTGACATCTTCGCGGACAGTGGTGAAAGCCACCTGGCACGGCTAGGCGACTTCCTCGTTAGCGAGGGAGACTTCCGGTTTGGATGCCACACTGGACCCTCAAAATTGCCAGTCAAAAACCGGTCTTCGCGGTGGGAATGCCAAGTTCATCCCCCGGAAGAGTAACTTTCCGGTTCCAGGATATTCCTCGCATGCATCACTGTTCAACCCCCCATGAGCGTAACAGAGAGCAACCAATAGGTGCGGGGAACAAACAGTTGGGCGTGATGAAATGCATGCCAGCTGATCGACGACGTACCGAATGCTAAGGTGGACTTTGGTAAAGAAACGTGCCTTGATGAGTGATGTTTGATAGTTGAGACCCAATAAACTCAGGAGAGGGTTTGCCCCGCTATGTTTCACCCGAGGAGCCAAGACGACATCTAACACAACCACCACGAGCCAACGAGAGGCCATCCGTGTGTTGGGAGCAAAGTAGATTTGGATATTGCCTTCGGCTCTCCTAGATTGCTCCAAAAGATGAGTGGTTGAGTGCCAAGTGTTCAAAAAAAACATGGTGTGCAAGATTCCGTTGTGCCATGTCTTACATTGTTTTGCCCGAAGAACGACTCCCCATGACCGAACACGGTCGACCAGCCATTGGGATAAATAATCGTCCAGTCATCAAATCACTTGCTCATTGTATGGCTGTGTCCAAATTGCGCGGAAAACCACCTGAAGCGCGTTGCACTGTTCTCAAACGTGTTGTTCAGTTCGCTCAAAAACAAACACCCGAAGGCCAGCTCGGTATTCGAGGTGCCAAAGCATGGTCCTTTGGCTTCCCTTTGAAGCAGCTTAAAACCGGGGACCGGGGACCGAGCCTTGAAAACACACACGCACACAGCATCCCAGCCCTGCCTCAATGCCTGCATGGTGAGAGAACACCTGACGCCGGAAGGTCACCAAATCCTGGCCAGGAGTGCATGTAGGGTTTTCTTTTGGGTACCCTTTTCCGGGCTGTAAAAAGATCAAACAGGGAAGTCAGTAAGGTCTCCTATTTGGCTATTTGGAGACAAACTCACATTAACCCATGATGGATAATTGATGGTTGCACTGATATCCCTGTCCTGATCGTGCAGGCCCACCACTCTAGTAACCTCAAGCGCGACCACAAGAACCAACGAGCTTTCACCTCGAACTTTCTGTGCAATTCTTGGACCAAGCGGCCAGGCTGTAGAGGGAAATGCCAACCTCATCATCTTCATCCTGGGTCCGGGACCTCTCCGATTGCGATCCGGCAAGCCTCAGGTGTGCAAAAATCCGGTCAACTCCCGTCCTCACTCTTGGAAAGTCACGTCTGCCTCAAGAAGACAGGAATCACGAAAGAAGGGCGGGTAACCTGCTCCCTGGCGGGTTGGTCATTCTGAACTCCCAGATGTTGGATTGCTCGTATGGGTTGGCTCCTGTTGGATTGTCATTTGACGCAGGCTGGATCCCATCTTTGTCGACCCTGTCTGGGGTCCCCTAATGTTCTTGTTTACCCATCCCATGGGTTCTTTAACGTGCCATCCTCGAAATTAGCCTCTTTGTGGTTTTGAGGATGAAGCGACCCAAAAAGAACTGTCAGGGCCCAACTTTGTTTGTACATCCGGTTTTAGCCAGGGATCGAACCCCCTCAAAGAGGTATTGGGTGTACCAATCAAGGGAAACCATGAGAAACTATGGGAAACCATGTGGAAACCATGCGAAACCACAAAGATTCTATAAAACGGACGTGGACCCTTCTCCCTGTATGGACAAATGCCCCAGCGAGGGGCAGCCGGAATAGGAACTCTGCGTCTGCGCGCAGCATCTCGTAGTAGCTCTTGAAACCCTCCGCTGATGCGGCAGCACCCGCCTGACGAAGAAACGGCAGAAAGCCACCAGTGGTGCCCTGAATTGTCACAACTCCCTCTGGGCAACTTAAAGATGGCTAAACCGAATGGGAGGGAATGTCGTCTACCAGGACCCTCAACCGACCCTTCAAAGATTGGTTGCCCCGCAAGGATGGTTGATGCTTGGTGCTTTCCTTTCTTTTCAGGGCAGCTTGAGGGTCCTGAGCCCGGGCAGCCCGGATACCTGCATGCACAGCTCCATGTAGGCTCGAACAAACTCCGTCTGCCCGAAGGCGCCGCTTTCGTCCTGCGTGAAGCGAGTGGCTCCCAGCGTTGGAAGGTTTGCTCCGCAACCTTGTTTCAACAGGTTCACCTTTCGAGACGGAAAGAATGGCCCCAAAGTTGGCCAACTGAGTTCGTGGCTCGGGGCTCAAGCAAAAACCAGGCATAGGAGTCTACCCCAAATGACAAATAGGGCAGAAAGACGCACCTGTTGGCTAGGACAGTCTGCTGCTAGCCTTAATGTACTCAGGTTTTACTCTGGCTCACTTGACGTTCTTTTAACAACTGAACAAGTTGAATGTGGGGAACAAGCCCTGGATAAATGGAGCCCTGGTTCATTCTAAAGTGGGGGTGCCCCCTGTTAAAAGGGATCCTTCACTATTGAAGGAACCACCTCGCTAGTTCCAAGTCAATACATCTAGTTGCGAGCGACCAGACTTGTGACAAAGTGCTAAGGATTGGGCGTGAGACACTAACGACCAGCCTGCCGGAGCTGAGTCCGAAACCCCAGTGCTAGGCATGTTGCTGGTTCTCAGCACAAAGACCTCTGAGCCATCCATCTTGTGGTTTCCCAAAGCCCAAACGGTTTCCCCAAATCCTGGAATTCGGTTTCCAGGCAAAAGCATCCCACACACACACACAAAACGAAAGAAAAAGGATCCGGTCCCGATCTAGCCACCGGAAGCCCTTGAGGAAGGTCTTCAGCCTTTGCAGAAGGAGCTGCCCAAAGTTTGCCCACAGCGAGTCGATCTCTCGCACCTTGGAGCAGAAGGCAATGCCGTGGATTTTCCTGTGATATCGTCCAGTTCATCTGTGAGTATAAATTTGAATCGGGGACCCTTTGGTGGATATCATTTAGGGGGGTGATGTCCATCCTCCACTTTGGAGGAGTTTCCTATTGCAATTCAGCCATATTATGAAGGTTTCCTGAGTGACAACCGAAATTTAAGTCCCACAAATGCAATCTTTGTGCAAGTGAACGAAGCACATCCAACAACAAAACCTTGGCAATTTGCAGTAAATTGCAAGAATCCATCTCCTATTTGCAACATTTGGGCCTGCAGTGGAATGGCCTGCTCTAGGGCACCAGAAATGCAACATGATGCACGACGAAAGGCGTGACGTGATTTGACGTTTCCTTGGCCACGTGGGCACACTGTAAAAACCGCACCAAGTCAACATCCCTACGTCCCTACACCCCTTTATAGGGCTCTGGACCGTAGGAAGCCGAAAGGAAGCCATCAACTTTGCGCATCCCCTTCGGTGAAACAAACAGATACAAGAGCGAGAGACACTCCGATCCATGCCGTCCAGGAAAAATCATCCCAACCCACTCTTCTGGCTTCAGGATGCTTTTCCCGAAAAGAGAAGATCGGTCTGGAGCATTGCGGCATCTATTTTAATCCATCCGCTCTCAGCCTTGTGCCAAGGGTTGGAAGGGTTGAAGTTGCAAAACTGGCAGCACCAAAATTCAGGGGCCCCTGCGGGTTGGCCCCAAACGAGGCTGTTCAGAGAGCATTTCAACTGAGTGGATTTGCCTCAAGCGGCTCACCCCCACCGAGGCGCCAAGGCCATGAGCACCCGCCGCCTCAGCAGCGGTGGGGTGGGCCCCAGCAACTTCGCCATGCGCGGGTCTGAGGCCAAGAGAAAGGCGGAGCTGGAGAGCAAGCTCAGCAGCAGGTCCTGAGGTGTCAGGTACATGGGGGGATCTAGTGAGTCCATGTCCATTTCTCCGAAGTCCATTGACTTGATCTTTGTGCCGAACCTCGCGTCAGGGAAGCAGACCCTGGGTTTTAAACCAGAGCACTTATCACCAGGGTAACAATAGGGTGGCGCGAATCAAAATCGGGCTTTGGACCGGGACTCGAAAATGGGCCAATGGAGTCCATCGAATTCTACACTCGCTGGTTCTCAGGGAGTGAGCTGAAATGACCAAGAACTGAACCATCCCTTTTGGTTTTTTGAGGATCCCCAGTTGCATCCACCTCAAGTGCCTCAGCTAATGTCAGCTTCGGCTTCATGCGTAGGGCCATACTAGCCATGGTTCCCCTTTCAGTGACAAGCTCAACCATGTTGGGTGGATTCCCCCCCAACAGCAGCAGGTCCTGAAGCAGGGAATGAGTTGCCCCTCAACCATCGGTTTCCTGGGGCCCAAGTTGCATCCACCCCAAATCCTCATGTCACCTACGGATTGATCCGCGAAATTTCGTGAGTCACCAAATGCGGGGGGATCTCAAAATGGTTTTGCCTTCCGTGTGAGAAGGAAGGAGTCAAGCGCCAAGCGATAGAAACCGCTGTGAACCCCTGACTCCTTTGTTCGTTGCTCCTGAGGCCACTACATCGATTTCGGCCATGCCGCTTCAGGGTCGCGGTTTTCGATGTTCAGCCCGAACTTCTGCCCAGCGTCCATTTGCCGCTATTGGTGGCACCCCACTCAAAACCCAAGCAAGAATGTGTGCCACCGGCCTGTCATGTCGAACGTATGCTTGGTATGTCCTGCCTCAGACTGGTGAACGTCCCCAAAACGAGTCTTCGAGCTGCCGAATCGACCGGCATACCAAAACCCAGCTCGAGGCTCCGAAGCTGCAGAGCCCCCGAGGTGCTGGCGCATCGTCTGCAGCATCACCACCTTGGAGCCCCGCGGGTGTTCCCCCAAGTGGCTTCCCACGTACCCTCAACCAGGAAATTCAACAAAACCCAACCCAACCACCAATTAAGGATTGCCTGAGAAGTTAAGCTGACAGGGCTAAATGAAACCACGCCAAGTGTCTGCATTGGTGTTAAGGGAACGACTGAAGACGTGCGGCCCAAACACATGCCAATCTATCAAACCGCCTGCGTGTCTGCTCCCTGGTCATCTGAAGCTAGTGGGACAGTGGGAACTCAAGATTAAACCCCTGGTTCTGTAATAGAGGGGCAAAACCGATACCCTGGTGTTGCCACTAGCAGCTTGCACAGTTCAGCCCCCTCTGGGTGTGTCTTGAAAGGGTTCCGGAAAATGATGGGGTTCGTTTGGAACTCTTGCCGTACGGCACCAAATGCTTACAACTATCAAAGTCGCCCCAGTTTCTGACCTTTTTGCCATCCCCGAAAAGCCCAGTCCGTTACTTGCGAAAAGGCGCTGTCGGCTCCTCGGCATCTTTGCCCACCAGGTGAGTGCTGGCGTCCAGCGCTCGTAGAACCTGAAAGTCTCGTTTGAGGCGGGTTCCCAAAATGAGCTTCGGATTAGTTGGTATTTGAAGGGAAACTGGGATTTGGACCGGGCCCAAAATGATGGTTCTTTTTTGGTGTCCCTTTAAACCAACCCCAAAAAGGGTACCAACTCACAAAACACATGCCCACAGGGGCGGATGCTCAAATGAGTCTCGCTTTTGACAACAGCAAAGACAAGAAGAGCCATAGAAACATACGCTGGATGAGAGTGGCAGAGTCGTGCTTTTGCAGGCAGATCTATCAAAGAGTCCAGCCATCTACACGTGTATGTGTGTATGTATGGACTTCCATTGAGACACGTACTGCCCATGAAGATTAATAAAGAACTTTACGAATCTTTTCTCGCCATTCCAGGCATCTTGCTGGTAGCTCCAGCACACGAGGAAGCTACCACAGAAAAGGGTGCCGCGGGGCGACAAGGGGCACAGCTATATGGGTATGTGTCAAAATCAGGGGAACCAAAAAAATGATCCCGGCTTCCCTTTCGAATTCCCGTTGAACCAAGCTTGAAACGGGTCAAATTACCCGCAAACATCAGTGATCGACCCAGAGTTATGAGCAAATTCCCTTCGAAATGGATATTTTGTGCAGACTCCAAAAACTCACACGCACACCTGTCTGGGTGTGAACAGATAAACTGGGGACCCCCGAAAATGCCGGACCATCAGAATTCCATGGGGGATGCAAAAAATAGAAACAGAAGGGGAAAAAAAAACACCACTCGGGGAGGTTCCCCCCCCCAAAAAAAAAGCAAAAATATCCGGCCTGCTGCACGGGGCTGGGGATGGCGCCGCCCAGCGTCCCGGGCTCTCTGAGCTCCTGGCCGCGGCTCGCTTACCTTTTTGCGGCTGAAGGGGGAAACCAAGGGGACAAGTCCATGGTTGGGGGGGGGAGGGGTGGGGCGGGGGACCAATAGTTGGGCAAATAACCTTAGTAATATCTAAGATTCATACCAATGATAATGTAATTGGTCGTAATGAGACTAGTCACTAGTCGTGGTTGCGTTTCGGTGAGTCGTGGGTACGAAGAGGTAGGCGGTAGTACACCCCCCTTCTCCACATCTACAACCACTAGCCAGTACATAAGGGGTGTACACCCTTTTCCTGATGTTTGGGGGGTTGTGGGGAAATCTTCTGATGCCCCGCAGCTTGCGAAAGGATAGGTACAAGCCAAAAACACCAGTGAGAAACTCGATTCAGATGGGAGTGTGTCGCTTTTGAGGATGCCTTTCTTGGGGGTGGTGGAGAGTGATTCAAAGGCAAGTTGTCCATTTTGGGGTCCACGTACCTATTTTGACACACCCCCAAACTGGCCCTTCCAAATCGTGATGATTGAGCAGGGGCTTGTTCATAGACATGCTGCGATGGATGCCAAGCGAACCAGTATCAATTCACACATAACGTTCATAAACTTCTCTGTGCCAGTTCCGCAAGGTGTAACATATTATTATCCTGTCCAGAATCAGCCAGTCCCACTTTTGCAGATGCCATAGTTCTCGCTGTGGTTGACGCATGTCTTTCTTCTCCGTCAGTCGTGCTCCGCACCAATCACATGCAAGAGAACTCGACTTATACGCCATAGGGCAGGGTCCTATCTTGTTGATTGCCCAAGGTAGATCTAAGCCCGGAGGTTGATTTCCCCAAACAAACCAATGCCTGAAAATCACCAGTCGAGAACCCTGGACAAGCCGTCCTGCTAGGTGAAGGATGCCGACTCACCCCCCCAAAAAAAAAAAAAAACGGTTCTACCACACTTACCACCCTTACTTCTGCTGTTGCTATGACTGCGGCTGCGTTTTCCCCGAGACATCACGCTGACGCTTCCGGGACTCCTCCAGCTGCAAGGACTCCTCCAGGGCCTCATCGGGCTTGGTTTCTTTCATGGAGCTCGTTTGTTTCTAGATATAAGATGCCGAAAGAACACACGGTTAAAAGCCACTCAGGCTTGTACATCTTCCACCTGAAAAGCAACTGATTCCTTGTGGGAAAGGTGACGCTTGATGGCCGAGTTGTATTTAAGGACACTGGATGCCTATCCTCCGAACTTTCAAAAGGATACCACTGACATCAACTTGACGTGTGGGGCGCTTCCGAGGTCCAACCATCTTGCATGGCGGTGCTTTTTATTTGGATCTACCCAAAGGCACGGATGCCCCCCATGCAGGGGAACCAAGAAATCCTCTCATTCACCGTAATTCACAATGTGGTCGGCTTTATGCCTGGACAGCTCGCACCACGTCCAGCGAGGAGGACATCCTTTCGCGCGCCGGGATCCAACGAAGAAGCAAAGGTCGAATGGGGGGTGTGACTTTGCTGGAGTTGGTACCCCAAAAGAGCTATGTGTAAAAGGGAACTGAGTGTGTTTTGGATTGGCGAAAAAGGGAAAGTTGTTGCTTTTGCATGTTTGTGAGACAGTTCCGTGTGTTCGCCATGAGATCTTACTAATGGAGCCAATAAAGCTGCCAGACACAAATACATATCTAGCACTACACAATGAACAATCCTTGCACATGCTCTCAAGAACCCCCTGCACACGTTTGCTCCACGTGTGCACTTTCGCGAATCTAAACATGCAACATGCAGTCTGATGAAAGTCGCGGGTCGTCTCCTTTCGTCTAGCGCCACATTTGAAGCTCCGCGCGTCTGCAACAAGTTTTGAGAATGCATCTCTCTACATGCAGTATGGCGCCGGTATATCTAATGACCGATTCGGCCATCGGCGTGTTGGAGTGCGATATCGACCAACCAGTAGGCTGCATAGGGATGGGAGCCGCTTTCCTTCTCACTTTCTTGGAACATCGGCGCCTAACGCAGGTGCTTCAGGTGCGCGTTTCAAGACTTCCCCGCATGCTGAAACGCTCAGCGTCCAAAACGCAATGGGGCACCTCTCAAAGGCTGCAGCTGCATCTGCCGCAATCTCAAAAAAGAAGAAAGGCTGCTGAAGAAGGAGGGACAATGAGCACGCCACACCATCCCTCCCAACCACTTGGAGCTAGCGCAACGACTTTGAACATGCACAGCTGGGCGGCGTCACTCTTAGGCCCAGTCCAGAGCTGAACTCAACCCCGCAAGCCACGCAAGCCGGGCAAGCAAGCAGCCGTCACATACCACTGAATCTGACGGGCAAACGACTCACGCTCAGCAAGCCAAGCCAATGCAGCAATGGTCATTGTGATCGAAATCATTCATGGCAGGCTCGTCATCCTAGCTTGGGCGCAGTGCCATCTGGCGCAGCTACTGGGAACACCAAGACCGAAAGCCGACGCACGTGTTTGCCGCAGCACTTTGTCTGCAAACAGAGAGCCGCACTTGCCTCCAAGCTTCACGGCTGGCTTCACTTTGTTTTTCAATCTGACATTGCCGCTGTCAGCTCAGTTTGCTGGGATCTGCTCAAAGCAGGGTCTTCACGCTTCAATTTGACGCTGGGCGGAGCTGGCGGCTGCCAGCTACACAGCTGGGATCACGCAGCGGACACAACGCTATCGCTCCCATCGTCCATAGCACCCCCAGTCCGCCCATGGCAGCGCTGGCAACTCAAGCTCACCAAGCCACGTCAGCAACGCAGGAATGCCGATTACAGAAACATTTCCAAGCGCACATATACTCAAGCATCGTGCATAACGCTTTGGCACGACGGCCAAGAACAGCAGCTGGAACACTTGTACTGCGGCACTTTGTTTCTTGCAAAGAGCAAGTTGCACTTGCCGCAAGCTTTGCTGCCGGTCTCAAAAAGATCGGAATGCTTTTCATCTGACACGACTGCACAAAGTAGGGGGCTGTCAGTCACACAGCAAGCTGGAACCTGGTGAAAGCCCACCATGGTGTGCCTTTTCGGTGCCGTTTGAGGGAAATAAAAGCACCCCCACAAAACAGGTTTCGACGCGTCTGTTAAGACACTACGCGCATCGCCCCAAGCCCCCAGCTGATGTTAAGTTGGTTGGCGGGAAGGGCGCTCACCGACAGGTTTGCTTGACTTGCAGCAGAAATGTTGGGTTTGTCTTTGTTCTGCAGCGCTTTTGGCTCTAAAAGACTGCAAGCTACACTTGCCAAGCTTCACAGCTAGTTGGGTCCTATTGGCCTGGCATCAACGCCATGCAGCAAAACCCATGACCTCAGGCGGAACTCCCGCGAAGGCACTTATAAGCCACATTGCGCCGCAAGGGTTCACGAAGCCTCTCGCGCTTTGACAGCCGCTTAGAAAACTATTTGGATACTTCTCCAGTACTTCCTTTGCCGGAGGGTGGGAAACCTGGTCAGAGTTGCGCCTTGCCAGACTTTGCAATTTGACTGCCTCTGGAGGCAAACAAAGGCGCCCACTTAAAGCGGCACAAGGCCGTCACATCCAACTACTTGGAACACAAGATAGACTGAAAGCCGCAGCACGGGCTTGGCAGGCTTGCGGAAGGTTGGCTTGACTCCAGACAACATGGCTGCTGCGCAAAGGGCTGCCAGGCGCACAGCCTGCCACAATCTGATGTCTTCACGCTCAATGTCATGCAGCGGATCCTACTTAAGGGGCAGGGTACTTAGTAAGTGGGTAATACCTATGATTCTAAGAAACTTGCAATAGTTATACATGTCTAAGTAGCTTATAACTCCAGGCTTGCTGACCATTTTCTAAGTACCCGTATGCTGTGACCCCAGGCCCCCGGCAGAGCTTTTGGCTCCAACTCACCAAGCGCGAACTTTGCGGCGGATGCAACACCAGGACCCCCAGCCCTTGCAGCACCGTGCAGCCAAGCCGTCACAACAGTTTAACTCCAAGTGTTCAGGACAGAGTCCGTGGCAAGAGTCAGTGAATTATTGCATTTAGCATATCGACTCACATTCTCACCATTACTCGACCTTTGGCGGCAGGACGCCTTTGCTTTGAAAAAATCACATTCGAGGCCAGATCTCCAGACCAACTGGAATGTTTTCATACCGTACTCGAGTGACGCAGCATGCCTCTTTCCTCTCCCTGTTGGGTAGCCCCAACGGGGCAGGGCTCAAACAGATGGACGTACCAATTTTGCTCCATTCAGCTTCCTTTCAGAAGATTTATTAACCGAAGGCTCTTGCAGTGAGCGGGGTTGGAACTGCTAGTCGCCCCCCTGCATGGCACACCTATGAGATGAACAAACCAAAAGAAACATTGCTGGCAATTCTTTTCATCCGGCGGCTATTGCAAGCTTGCTCGGACAATCATAATTTTGGCTATTGTCCCACAATTAGCTCAGAGACAAAGTATCACAAGGGCAAGTCTGCCAGAGTTCCGCAAGCTCACCATGCTTGCAGCAACGGACCCAATAACAAGCGCAGCTCTCGCCGAGCCTTGCTTGGACCGATTGTCACGAGACAAGCCCAGGCGCAGCCAGCTTGTTAAGGCATGTTGCACAAGCGGCACTGCTTCCAGGGCACGGGTGCCCTGGAGCAGGAGGTGCGTTGACCCCCCGTGAAACTCTAAGGCAAGACAATGCGCGTCCTTGCAAATGCATGCAGCGCGTGCATGGCGTGGCATGCGTGCAGTAGTAAGGAAAGAAGGCTTATAGTCCCCTAAGTATTTTGGTTTTTTGGTCCCAAAACCCAGCAAAACAGCCAAAATTCTCCATCCAGCTGAACGTTTTTCCGATGTCACCGGTCTTCGTCACCGCTCCGTTTTTGGTGCAAAAAGCGCTCAAAACGGCCAACTCCGAAAAGTTCGTTTTTTCGTGTCAGACGGCAAGTGTGGTGCCTGAGACTCTAGATTCGCTCGCTTTCTGCAGAAAACAGGCTCCACACACTTACTTTGCTCTGGATTCCGTTTTCAGCCCGGAAAAGCAGGCAAATTCCATCCCGCCAAGCTTGTCACCGCTTGTCACCGCTTCGTCACCGCTCTCTTTTGGGTCGAGAAAGTGCGCAAAAGCGGCCCAGTTCCCGAGTTAGAATCTTGATCACTGCTTCAAGCCTACAGGGACATGCAGGGAAAAAAGCATCCGACCGAAGCAAACTCGACACGCGCTTTTTTACTTGAGCGTTGCTTAGAAGTGCAGGCTCTGAGATGCAGGTGGAGTGACGATGCGCGTCCACTCCATCTTCCTGCATCTCATGCGGAGCCTGTCGGAATGCCCTTAGAAGTGCAGGCTCTGAGATGCAGGTGGAGTGACGATGCGCGTCCACTCCATCTTCCTGCATCTCATGCGGAGCCTGTCGGAATGCCCCCTGTGGTCAACATTGCGTGTTCGACCATCACACAGCGTGTTTTACCCATGGGGTGTGAGACAAATAGGAGGTATTTTGCACATCGGTATGCACTCCACCTGCATCTCAGAGCCTGCACTTCTAAGCAACGCTCAAGTAAAAAAGCGCGTGTCGAGTTTGCTTCGGTCGGATGCTTTTTTCCCTGCATGTCCCTGTAGGCTTGAAGCAGTGATCAAGATTCTAACGCTAGGGGTTTTTCTTTTCCCCTGTGTTTTAATCTTGGTTGAATCTTCGGTGGCTGTTTCTGCTTCAAGCCCTTTAGTAAGGGACATGCCTTGAGGGTCTGACCCCTCTTTCGTTCTTTTTGAACCCACCCTCCCACCCTTTCACGGCCCAGGTGGAAACCAACTTCCACAAGGCCTGATTGCTGGGTTGCTGAACACGCATGGTTGCAAGCTTTCCCGCTCCCAACATTTTGTCGGCTTACTGCATCCCGCAGGACCCGTTTAGCCTGTGCAAAGAGGCCTGATAGCTGATTGCTGAACACGCGTTGTCGGCAAGCTTTCCAGCATCAAGCATGTTGTCGGCTTACTGATCCCGCAGGACCAGTTTAAGCCTATGCAGTGAGGACGCGTTCCTCGTTGGCCACACCAGTTTGAACCCATGCTGCGCACGCAGTCGCACATCGCTGAATGCCATCGGCATTCTGTCGGACCAGCCTGGTCCCCTTCAGGAGGACGCATTCCTCCCAAAGCGCCTTCAGACGCTGGCACATTGCATAAGCCCCGGGGAGGACTCCTGCTGGACGTCTTCGCGGGGGTCCATGCACCGATCTCCGCCGCAGCAGACCAACAAGGCCTTGCACGCTTCGAAGCTTTTGACTTGGACGCCAATCCTCAGCACAACATTCTGGATGCATGGTTCGAGTTGCTTTTGCGCATGTGCTGGTCTGGCAGCGTTAGCTTGCTGACCTTGGCACCGCCGTGCAAGGAATACTCCAGGCTCAAGCTTAGACCAGGCGGCCCAAAGGCGTTACGCACGCCTTCATGCATGCTTGGCACACCGAACTTGTCACCAGCAGAACTCTCTCGGGTTCGCGACAGCCGCGAAATCCACAGAAGAGGGCGAGAG